CCTTGGATCTTTCCCTGAATGATCAGATGTAAAAGATCATATTTTTCAGGGTGTCTCATAATATGACCGAAGTATTCCAGCTTGCGTTTCTTTATTATATTGACCAGTTGTGTTGTTTGGTTCAGCCGTCTAAGGACCTCCTCATTTCTAACTCTGTCGACCCAGCTTATTTTCAGTAGTCGTCTGTATACCCACATCTCAAAGGCTGTCAAGCGTTTAAGCATAGCCTCAGTTAGGGTCCACGCTTCTACTCCATACAGCAGGACAGGAAAGATGTAGCAAGATATCATACGAACTCTAAGGTCAATGCTAAGATCATGACTGCAAAGTACGTTTCTCATTTTTACAAAGGCAGCTCGGGCTTGTTCTATTCGGCTTTTAATTTCTGCGGTTGGATCCCAGCTCTCATTGATATTACTGCCGAGATACACGAGTTTCTCTACTCTGTCCAGTGTGGCATCTCCGACTTTTATACCGTCATCATGTATATAATTTTGTTTGCTAACTATCATATATTTAGTTTTCTTAACGTTGAGTTTTAATCCATACTGATCACAAGTCTGTTTTATTTTGTTCATTAGATTTTGAAGGTCTTCTCCGCAATTGGCAAGGACTAAGGTATCGTCGGCATATCTAATATTGTTGACGGTTACTCCATTCACAATAATACCTTCGGTTGTCTCCATTAAGGCTTCCTTAAATATTTCCTCCGAATATAAGTTAAAAAGTAAAGGCGACAATATACAGCCTTGTCTCACTCTCTTTTTATATTTATTTCATCCGACAGTTATTGTTCAACCTTTATTCTTGCCACTTGATGCCAGTATAGATTTCTAATTATTCGTAGATCTTTATCGTCCAATCAGCTGTTTCCAATATTTCTAGCATTTTGTTATGTCGGACTTTGTCAAAAGCTTTTTCAAAATCGATTGCACAAATATACACATTTTGATTTATATCTCTGCATCTCTGTACTAGCATCCTGTATACTAAACAAGGCTTCTCTTGTGCCCAAGCCACTCCTAAACCCAAATTGAGTATTGCTAATTCTGTCCTCTAACAGCGTATAAATTCTGCTGTGTATTACTCGCAGAAAGATTTTCAAAACGTGACTCATCAGACTTATTGTCCGATAATCACCGCATGTCTTTGGACGATGTTTCTTAGGTATTGTGACAAATGTCGACTTTAACCAATCTGTTGGTAATATCCCAGTGTCATAAATTCTGTTAAAGAGATTACACAGAGCTAGTAGATGCTATTGCTTCAGCAAATAGTATCTGGTTTGTAGCATTTACTTTTACATAAAAGGAGGTGCTTTGTTGAAAAGACCGTACTATACAACCGAAGTACTTGCTACTGACCTGAAGGTTCTACTATTAAACGTAACGCCAGCTGTAGTGCCCTTGTGCGCATCACACCAATCGTATTAGAACTAGTTTTTCATGTAATCTTTTAACTTTTTATAAAGATTTTATATTAATACCTAAATATATGTACATATGCAGTAAGCTAAAATAAGTCTTACCTGCCCCCTACTCTCCTACTTTCCCATTTAAAAAATCAAAGTTATTACTGTCACCTGAAGAAAGATTGCTTAAAGTTCGAAACATTTATGCTATAATATAGTATGATTATTTTAAAAACCGACCTCTTCGAGTGGTTTGCTTATATACTAAAAATAAATTAGTTAATATGGGAGGTTACACTTATTTCAGCGCACTGTATGAATAAAACTGCACGATTCATGATAATTACCTGAATATTTTACGATAAATATCGTCATTGTATATTCTTCCTGATTTGTAGATTTTTCTACGACAAACATTCATAAATGCTGCCATTAAACAAACATAACAAAAAACACCTAAGGCGAAGTTGTTTATCTACCAACTTCACCTAAACTGAAGCAAATTCTACTAAACTAGCAAATACTTCAAAAGCGTAGTACATTCTTCTATGTATCTGGTAAATAGTAGTAAATACTACGGAGGAAAGCAAAATGCTTTTTAAGTGTAGCAAGTACTACAAAAATGTAGAATTACTTGAAGCATTAGCAGATACTACGTTTTATGCATTCCACCCATAATATTTTCTTTACTGTATACATACCTTCTGTGTTGCATAGAGAATGGAACAATTGTACCTACAGACAGTGGCAGGCAGTAATTCTAAACTGACAACTCCTAGTTTGAAAATCGAGGGTATTACAAAATCTAACGAGGACGTAATCTCTGTAGGACCCACAATTAAGACAGAATATGCATACAGTAAAAATACAGTGATGAAAACTCAAACAGACCCAACATCCACGGGAAGGAATACCACTGACGACACTAAAATAATCACCATCCAAAGCAGAGCGTTCACCGTATAAATAAATAATAAATCTATAAACCGCCCGGCAAATCACTCAAACTATAAATGCCGAAAAACTTTGGGAAACAGGAAACTCCGTTCATAATGGGAGGTTTTGACATCCACAGTACGTCATGGGGCCATAATAAAAAAATGTCTTTGATGTAATCCCTAAAACTTAACATGGTCCAATAGGTGTCTAAATTTATGCAGCCATCAAAATAACCGAGATATCCTTCCGAAGACGCTTCCAGTTGACAACGGCCAACTGGACTGAGTATTCTGACAACCTGAATACCATACTCGAAACAAATCTTGCAGAAGGTGTCTAAGCAATTCATACCAGATGGCTACAGAAAAAGATAATACCAGATCTATCAGATGTCTCTAAAGCACATTGAACTGTTATGAAAGACTTTCAACAAAGACTCATTCGATGAGGAAACAAGAGACTGTGGCAACTCCCTTGTCAAAGCACTGAGCCAAGGTCGACAGAAGAAATGAATAGAACCCCTGGTGCGTATGGACATGTCTCACAAAATCAAAATTGCCTAACACCACACCCAAAAGAAAAAGGTATCAACCGCTCGCTAACAACCGAAAAAAGGTACTTTGACACATCTGTTACCATAAAAGTACTGAATAAAGAACTAAATTCGCTCAAAAATAGGAAAGACGCAGGAGTCGATGATATATGCTTGGAGGTAAGTAAAAATTTTACCGCCGTGGCAAAAAGTGTGATCGTTTTATTATTTAATAACTTCCGAATAGCATGTCAAATGTCAACACTGTGGAGGAAAGCAAAATTCATAGCTATACTATAATCTGGGAAAGGCCCAGAAACGCCAAACAGTAACCGCCCCATATTGCGTCTCTGTCACTTATATAAACTGTATGAAAGACTTATCCTGCATAGCATAGAGAAAACGATGGAGTCAAAACCATTATACCAGAGCAAGCTGGTTTCAGGCAAGCATTTGCTTCTGCATTTGTAAGGTAGGGCTTGTACAAGCCAAGTTCTAGCTATGACGCAACACATCGAGAATGGATTTGATGGAAAAAATATAACAGGCGTAGCTTCCGTCGACCTAAGTGCCGCAGAAAGTCTATGCGATTTTTAAGGACAACTATTACATACATATAAATACATATCTTTCTTAATTACTACAAATTATTTCACTGCATACAATATTTTCAAAAATGATTGTCTGTAAAAGTCAGTAAATTAACAATTAAAACCAAAAACTATATTAATTAATTAAAAAAAAGACTTATTTTAATACACTATTAAAATATTTAGAGTGGAAATAACTTAAACGAAGAACTGCTAAAGAATGAAGTTTAACAGACTTATGTACAACTTATTTCAGACGTACACTCGTGTTCTGCTTCGATATGACTCATAGCTCTTTAGAAAATCCATTACCTCTACTTACTTGTTTGTAAAGAATATATGAAATGTTCTATTAAAAATAAAACATTTCTCACAAATAAACATTGATAATATTATAGTGTAAATAATCAACAATTTTTACTAAACTACACTTACGGTTATATGGATTATTTTTAACAACTTTCGCTGCTACTACTAACCGTCGTTATTTAGCGGCAATTGTACGATAACCACAATCCAGAGATTTTCCGTGTTTGGATTTTATCGCTACGTCACACAGTGGATTAACCACTCAGGTAGAGATCGTATCAGATACGCCTGAACTGTCCACTGGCTGGATTACGACTTATAGCAGATGTCCCAAAGTCCCGAGAACTTATATAATACCTAATGGGAGATATACAATAAGCCAAATTTTTGCAGTAAATCGTTGTAGAACAATCTGAAGTTGAGTAAAAACTACAGGACCATAACATTATTGAGTTATACCACAAAAATATGAAAAAGAGTAGGTAATTGATAGACAGATACATGCGGAAAACGAACTATCCAAAATTGCAATGCAATTTTTTTTTAAAGAAGCTCATAGGAAGCCGTTGTTGCAGCACAAATCTCACATTACGATGAGCGAGTTGTGATGCCACTGTCTGGTGAGACTTGTTGATTTAGCATAGTTTGTACCAAGCACTAAGATATTTCTTTATACATCTGGGAGTCATCCCACTTTGATAATTCTCTAAAACAAACCTATTAGTTTATTTCTGTTACTTCTAACACTGTCCATAATACCCTCTGTTCCAACTGCTTTACCTTTTCTCATCTTCTGAAATGCTTCCTTTAGTTAAGATTATTAGAAATTTAGTAAGCAACAGTATTTGCTATAAAAATTGGGTATTCTGGAGGCCATAAACAGTTCTCAGCTTATGTTGACTGATCTTTCCCTCCAAATGTAGCGGTCTCTATTATTATTTTTTATCAACCGCTTAGTTCTTATTATTAGAGATTATTTAAAAATTTTAATGAATCATAAAGTATAAACTATTTAACAATTACAACTTCGATGTAGGTCAGTGTCTATGACTGAATTATGCAAGAAAAATTGTAGAGAACCAATACTTTTGAGTTGTTGTTAAGAGTTGAAAATATAAAAAATAAAGCAATACACAAGTTAGTTATAAAAATTAGGATTTTCGACCAAACTGAAACAGTATTTCCTTTAAAAAATATATTAATTATGCATTTGTCTTACCTAGCTCCTTCCATGAAAAGTCCGCATACATAAGCACCTTCTCTAGGGCCTGAAGTAAAATCATCTTTTTGTTTTTTAGTGACGTCTGTCATAAGACACATTTTATCCAAAGGCCATTCATTCTTTCGAGCAGTTTGTTGCATAATAGCTGTCAAAAATGATTGCGGGTTGAAAAATCCTCCCAGCCAAACGGTCGCAGGCATCGAGAAATCAGTGGTCCAGCCTAAGAAGATACTATTATGATAATATGAAGAAACTAGGTAGAAAACATTAAAAATGACATTGACAAAAAAAATAAAACTCATTTTGGTGGTACGAACATCTAATAAAACATATTTCTATATATTTCTTAATTTGTCTATGAGAACATTTATTTTTAAAATTAAAATCAAAGGTCGCAGTTGAATTGTAATAAAGCTATGTCATGGCTAAAGAAATTTCACGACTGACTAGAAGAAAATATATTAGTCAATTTAAAATGTGTTATAAGAAGAGAGCTTTAGAAAATACTGTAGTGTACATAGAAAACATTTAAAACTGACACATATCTGAACGGAGAGACTTCTAAGCTCTCATCAATTTTTTATGTAAAAGTAGCGATGCAGTGTTTTTGTTTATTTTATTAAATAAATTTATCTACTTACCTTCTAGTTCTTTGAGTCGAAGAGTTAAATCTCCCACCCATTGACCTAAAGGTAGTAAGCTTGGATATGCTTTAACAGACCAAGATTCGGGTACTTGATCCATGAACAAAGCTTGATCTAACTCCTCCATATCAGATGTAATAGTTAATTCTCCCTTGAGACCTATTAAAGAAATAAAATATATAATATATTTGATAATCTTATAACTATATAAAACTGAACGTTATGGGTTAAAAATTTAACTACGCCAAAATTTGTATTTAAATATTTTTATCTTTTTCAAGGGTGCTGTTAAACCATTTGAACATTATCTGCTGATGTAAGTCAGATCTAGTATTTTAATAATAAAACAGCTGGTACCAGAACCCAATAAAAGAGCAAGGTTTGAAGATCAGGCCAGGAACCAGCTCCGATAAAAAAGAAAGACGAGGACCCTTAAGCTAGCGGGGCAAATGAGCGGAATTCAATTTAACCAACGTAATATTTTTTTACCAATTATTCAATAATTTATTACCATACTAATAATTTTTCCCCACCAAACCACCCTTAATGGGAGCGATTCTGCTAGCTATATATTCGAGCCAGCAGAATTAAGGAAAAATATATTTTTGAAGTACCACAATGTTTTTATAGGTTTTTACAAATTTATTACAAAATTTTGAAATACTAAATGATTCTGCTCAATTTTTTACTAATTTTTCGCCTCTCAACTAACCCGTGGTAGTTTAGGGTAGAAGACAAAAAGTAATTTTTAAATACCACTGTGTGTTACAAAGCTTTTCCATTTCATTTACCACCTTCACAGTTGTTTACCCCTCTATGAGAAGCCAATAATTCTGCTATAAACTGACAAAACAAAATTACAAAAGGTATGTTTAATATTTTTTTTCTATTGTAGTTTTACTTCAACCTTTTACTAATTTTTGCTATCTTTCTGCTATCACGTTTTCAAATTTCAAGAGTTACAAATCAGCTACTAAAAATTACTCAAAAACTATTGTACTTATCATAAAACACACTTAAGGACAGTACAGAGGCGATATTATTTGCAATTTATTTCCAAAGTTAAATAATAGTGAAGAGGGCGGTATCAATCTAAAATCCGAATAATACTGCAGCCTCCGCTCCTTAATTGGTAATACACTTCGCTCAGGTCTATGGATGTACCTAATAAATACAAATATTTTAATCTTTTAACAATGTGTAAGCAAAGTGTAGCGATCCTTCTTTACAATTAGGTACTTAACCCTTTTCGGGCAAGTGGTTCCACAGCGGAACCACAAATTCATAAATTTCTAAAACCTTTCCCAGTAAACGCTTGCCGGAACCACGTTCAGACCGGTGTCCCTACCATTTTGTGTTTTAGATCGCTAATGCGGCGACTTTCTCGGTGGCTTCAGTTTGTTTCAAGGAGCGGGTAGATGTTTATGTTACCTTTTTACTTTTTGTCACGCATAACGAATTTTTTTATTTCAACTACGCAAATAAAAGATATGTCAGGTAAGTGGATCATAAATATATACATATTGATGTTATTTTAGAGTTGTTACAAAAAAGTTCTTATATTTTTTCATTAATATGTTGTTTTTTGCTTTCAAAATATGTGGTTCCATGTGGACCACAAGCCTATTATTAGCATAATATAAATATTTGTTTTTATTGTTTCAGGAAACGTTTCTTTAGAGAGCTTGAAGCTCTCGAAGCTGATGAGGTATTTCAACTTATTGAAGAGTCACCATCCGGAGAAGAATCAGAAGCTTCCGAAATAGATTCAGATGATGATGGACGAGAGGATGAACTCCCGATGATACAATGATGAATCATTTGTTAATGAAGATGATCTTCAAGAAATACAAAATACTGCGGAAAATGAAGACACTGGTACGGACATTGAAATATATATAAAGTAATTAAGAATCAAGTGAAGACGAAACTGGAGTCAATAGGAAAAGAAAACTAACAAAAAAAAATACAAGACACAAAATACACGAAACAAAGGTAAAAAAGAAACCTAAGAATGAAGAAAAAGTAGTTGTTTGGTTCGATGATCAAAAAAATTTGGTAAGAGTCCTTCAGTTTTTGTAAGTGATGTAGGTCCTAATGTGCCCGAAGAGATAGAAGAACCGCTTGATATATTTATGCTTCTTTTTTTCAGAGGAGCTTTTGGATACATTAGTATTTCAGACCAACTTGTATGCAACCCAAAAAAATAAACAATATATTCAACAACAAAAGAAGAAATGAAATGTTTCTTAGGAATCAATATTCTTATGGGTATAAAAAAAGATCCAAGCTACAGAGATTATTGGTCTGCAAGAACTGATTTACGGGACACCTATATATCATCTGCTATGTCTCGAAATCGGTTTGATTGGTTTTTGGGTAACATGCACCTAAATGACAACTTTATTGCTCTAAAAAAGGTTCTAATGATTATGACAAATTGTATAAAATAAGACCAATGATAGATAGATTGACGGGAAACATTTGATAAGTATTATAATCCAGTAAATGCCAGTCAGTTGACGAAGGAATGAATAAGTTCAAGGGGCGAAGCTCACTACGACAATACATGCCGAAAAAACCGACAAAAAGGGGTTATAAAGTATGGGTGGCGAGCAAATGAATCTGGTTTTGTTTCGCAATTCCAGATTTATACAGGTAAAACAGGTGATCTTGCAGAAAAAAGTTAGGGGCTAGAGTGGTCAAAGATTTAACAAGTAGTCTTGCTGGTAAGTGTCATGAAGTGTATATGGACAATTTTTTTACTTCTTATCTACTCTTAGAAGAACTACGGGCCCAATATATATATATGCTTGTGGAAGAGCAAAGCTGAATACTAAATTTTTTCCAAAGATTTCTCTAACGATAAATCAATGAAAGTGGTGACACATGTTGGAAAATTAGTAATGGGGGTATATTGGCAACAAAATGGATGGATAACAATCTGTTCATTTCTTGAGCAATTTTCATATACCCTGAAGATAAGCAGGAAATCTCAAGAAAGCAAAAAGATGGCTCCAAAAAAACTTTCACTGGTCTTACAGTAGTGACAGATTATAATAAACATATGACATAATAAAATTATATCAATTTAAATATACCTTACCTGATAATTATTTTGTGAAATATAACTCCATTGTATTTACTAAAACTCAACTTGATTTCAGTTATTTTATATTCATAAAAGGGACTAGTTAAAATTTATAATTTTTTTAATAAAGGATTTTCATATTTTCAATATTTAAACATTGAAAAAATAAATATTAGTTAGCACAGAGTAACATTTCAGAATTTTTTTAAACAATGACTAGGCTGGTAAAAATATAGCAAAAATCCAGCAGAGCACTTTTGTATTTGCAAAAAGATTCGCATTTAGTTAGCGTGAATGCGTAACTTTTTGAATGTTTTCCGTTAACTGTGGCTTAGGAGGTTAAAAATTATGAGGGTGGATAAAATTCAGTAAAAACCTGGCAATCAATGTATACTTTCAGTTACAAGAATAATACAGAAAACCCAATTTTTATCACCTTAAATATTAACCCAACAGAATTATTGACATCTCATAAGGAGTAATTGATGGGTGAATAATTACTAGTATGGTAATAAATTCATAAAAACCTAGCAGAGCACTGTGGTATATCATAAATATTATTTTTGGAATTCTACTCATTTTAACCGCAAACCAGCAAAATCGCTCCTCTTAGGGGTGGTTTGGAGGTAAAAAATTATTAGGTGGTAATCAATTAGTGAATAATTCGTAAAAAATATGCCATCGGCAAAAAGTTTTTTTCTGAATTCTGCTAGCTTGAACCTTAAGCCAGCAGAATCGCTCCCATTAAGGGTGGTTTGATGGTGAAAAATTATTAGGGTGGCAATAAATTAGTAAAAAATTGGTGAAAACATATGCCATAAGCGAAAAGTTTTTTTCTGAATTCTGCTAGCCAGCAGAATCGCTCCTTGGTTTGGTGGTGAAAAATTATTAGGGTGGTAATAAATTAGTGAAAAATGGTTGTTGAAAAAATATTACGTAGGTTAAATTATATTCCGCTCATTTGTCCCCACTAGCTTAAGGGTGCTAGAAAGACGCCCATAGAACCGATCAAAAGCCTGGAAAACGGGACAGAAACGTTTAAAGACAAAAAAGATAAAGACAAGAGAAGCTAGACAGAAATGTCCATGAAATTGACAACGAAGATTTTTATAATAGTAATTATTGGCGGTCTTAATGCAATAGTAGGAAATAACAGCAATAGACAATATAAAACAACGATTTAACGAAGACACAATAAATCGTAACAAAGAAAACCTAATTGAATTTTGTGCTTATAATACTTTGAAAATAACCAAAACGTTTTATGTTGAGCTTTGCAGAATATCTTTCAGAAATCCCAGTACAATTATACTTGGCAGAATACATAAGGTCAACAGTAAACGATAGACTACATTGTAACAAATAGAAAAATCATACCGAAACAAATTCTCCTGTACGAGTTTTAACATCACCAAATATAGGGTCAGATTACAAATTGGTAATTAATTCAGGGAAATAAGGAAAAAAACCTGAATCAACTATTTCCAAATAGAAACGTTTTAAGTATATCCGACAGTGCTTTGTACACTACTGCGTTACAAAATTACTTAAATAACGTTTTCTCAGGTAGGCCTATAGAAAAAAGAAGATCTGTCGAATGGCCACCAAGGTCTTCAGATTTGGCTCTGTTAGATTTTTTTATGGGGATGGAGATATTTTAAGAGCAAAATGTATCAAAGCTGACTGAATGAAGTAGAAAAGTTGAAGGAGTGCATCAGAACAGAAATTGCACAAATAACTCTTGAAGTTATCGAAAAAGTAAGAAAAATGGTTGTCGTTTTGGCTAACCCTGTAGAAATAAATATTTAAATAATTATAATTGCATCGCTACAAAGGTGATTGGGATAACTTTCAAATGAGTCCCGTAGCCTCGGTCCTCGGATCTTCACTGAGGGTTACATTTTTTATTAAAAGTGTGGTAAACCCATCGGCAATAAGACAAAAGAGGGAATCTAATCCTTATGAAAAGGCGACCAAAAAAAGTGGCCTTGATGGCGGACATATCCGGAAATGCGAATGCGCGAAATTTAATTTTCCGACACTTATCAACAGTAGCTATATAATATTTTTCAGAATGTGTCTTAGACGAGAATAAGTTTTAATTAATTATTAATGATAAGAGTCTAAAATGCGAACAATTGTTAAAAAACTTCATATAAATAAGATTTCATGTGACATTTGGAATTACAATAAACATAACCCAAACTAAATTTGATGTCAAAAAGGAGAGAGACTCTCTATCCTTGTTTAAGTGGCCTCTAAAGATCGCACTTCCTGTCTAACAATATGTTTGCCCCCACTACTTTACATTTCCTCTATTGTCTTTTTGCTCGATGGGTAAACCCTAAATTTCGTATTCAAGAAGTTTATTCTTCGTCTAGTTTTCCCGTTATGTTTAAAACAAATACATCTACTTCTAAATGTAAATATACCGCAATATTTAAAAAAAAATTATAGTCGACAGTCCTAAATGATTTTATACATAATATTTTTGATTAACCGCCTCGATTATAACGGTACAAATTAATTTAAGATTCTCTTACCCAATTCCAGCTCACGTAATGACCTTTTCAATTCAGATGTCAGAGTATTCATTCGATCACATTCTTGGAATGCCACAATTATATAAGGGGTTCTATCTTCTACTTTTGCCATCATGTCCGCTACTGGGAAAGCTTCAGGTAACTTGTCAAGAATTTCCTCAAGCGTACCTCTTACCTAGTTAGAAGAAAAATAATAAATTAAGCATTAAAATACTATTTCTAATTTATATTACAGGCTGCGGAAAAAAAATGTGCATTAATTATTACATTTTTGAAAACAGAACGGTGTTATAAAGGGCAAGGCCTTCAAGTATTTCAACTCCAAATTGTTAATTATTATTTTTTTATCGAACTTTTAAGATGAAAAAAATGGTGTTTTTGATTATTTTAATTTTTATGTTATCAAATTAATATCTGAGAATAAAATGAGCACAATATTGAAATAAAGTAAATTTTAAAAAATTAATTAGAGCTATTTTACATTAAATTAGACCCAATATCTTATGCAAAATTAACAAGTTAACTTGATAACATCGCCATAGGACACCATGGATATGGCAAAAGAAATGATAGAGGACACACATTGATGAATTACTTGAAGTAGAAGCAACTATATGCAATGAATACGTTCTTTAGGAAAAAAACCCAAAGAAAATGGACATGGATTAGTCCCAATGGTAAAACTAAAAACGAAATTGATTTTTAAATTGATTGTTAAAGACGTAACAGCCCTAAATCTCTTCTCAACTGATAGCGACCATAGATAGTCCGAGCCACAGGCTGATCATTGATGCGTCGCTTTGAAAAGAAGAAATGAATGATGAAGAATAATTCAGAAATTTAGACATGGAAAAAACAAGAAAAAACCGACGTACAAAGAGGAGAAATAGAAGAAATATTGCCGACAAGGAAGATATAGAGCACAAACATATCGCACAAACGATGAAATAAACATTGAATTTACTGAAACTCTAGTGAAAGTGGGTAAAGAAATAGCACAGATAACAACAAAATAGAAAGTTTCATATCCAGAAAATAAAGATTCTTATGAACACAAGAACATTACTAGAACAAGGGGACAGAAATGAAATGGAATACAAAAAAATAAACAAAACTATAAGAAACAATATCAAGGAGTATAAGCGGAGAATACAGGAAGAAAAGATAGAGAAAACAATTGAAAAAAATAAATAGAAACATGAAGTGCTTAAAGCAGAACCTGAGAAACATCCAAATTAATAGAATCAATAAAAAAGAAGGAGTGGAGACCAACAATATAAAAGAAATTATTGGTAACAGATAATTGCACGAATATTATACAAATCTCTATAAACAGAACAAAAAGTAACCCAAGAAAATCCGTAATCAGTTTACAACTGAAATAAACAACGTTAATCCAGAAAGCGTAGAATGTGATAAACATGAATGTTAACATAAATATGTACAAGACACTACTAGCTCCATATTTGACAAATAGCCCCTGAAGATGCTATATTAAGCGAAAGTACTTCGGGCAAGATTTGATTAAACTCATGCTCGATAATTACCTTAATTTTAAAAGTCCAATATATATATATATTATATATATATATATAAATTATATATATTATATATATACATATATTATATTATATATATATTATTTATATATAGTATATATATATAGAGATCAAGCAACAACATCCATTAAAATAGTTAAACAAATGAAGCTATTAAGATAAGGCGAGGAGTCAGACAGGGTGACACTATATCACCCAAACTATTTAATTAAGCTTTGGAACACGTTATGAGGAAATTAAAATAAGAAAAACAGGGTATTAACATAAATGGCCAATACTTGAATCACTTGAGATACGCAGACGACATTGTATTAATAACAGATAAAAGGGAAGAATTACAAAATATGATGGATGAATTAAACATTCGTCAAAGAGACGAATTCGGTTGGCTTGGGCATCCTTCGGAAAACTTTCCTATATACTAATAAATAAAAAATACCCCCAATATTTAAAAACAAAAGTGTTCAACCAATGTGTACTTCCTGTTCTTTCCTACGGTTCTCAAACTTGAACATTTATAATTTAAAACATGGAAAAAATAACAAAGACCCAAAGAGCCATGGAAAGGCAAATGCTGAACATCAGGCTATCAGACAAGAAAAGAAATACTTGGATCCGCAACAAAATAAAAGTGACCGATGTATCAACGCACATAGTAAAATTTAAGTGGAAGTTCGCTGGACATACCATAAGACAGAAAGACGACAGATGAAATAAGATGATTATACACTAGAGACCATATAGTTACAAACGAAAAATTGTTCTAGTTCTAACCCCAGAAGTTTTAGTGCATTTTTTGTAAAACCAAGGAAGGGAGCCTTTTTTTCTTTATCCAGCAGGACTAGGATTCTTCGAAGCAGAGTCCTTATTTTAAATAGCTAGAGGTCTTCTTGTTGTTTTGGTTGCCATTTGTTCAGGAGATTCATGTAAGTACCCCCTTTTTGTTTCATTTTTGTAGTTGCCCCAATTTGACCTCTTGCCATTCAACTTATTCACGACCCCAGCTCGCCCAATAAGCCCTGTGTGCCGTTCGCATAAGTTTTGATTTGTTTTGCTTGCCCTATTTCTAGCCCAATAGTTTCTGTCCCAATTTTCAACCCCGATAATAATACCCTATGTGGTAGGCAAAAAATATATTCGTTACAAATTCTAAGGCGGTACGAAATTCGGCAGGTCAGATAGTACTAAATAAAGCAAATTTATTTATTCAAATAATATATGTTAAGCAGTTTAGTTTATAAACCAATACTTACCTTTTCTTCTCTTGATATCCCCGCACCTGCCGCAGCACCTGCATCTCTAGGTTGCATTTCAAAAATTGTTCGAAACATATTATCTGAAGTGCTAGCCAAGAATCCAATCTCTGCATTTGGATGTAAACCATACAGATAGGGACTTTCAGGTGGTAGTCTAGAGTCTATATACTTGTGATATCCCAGGTAGTCGGTATTTGGGGGGCATTGGAAGCCCTCAGCATACAATAAATCGCCATCAAGAAGTTCTGGCTGCATGTAGTTAAGTAAATAACTTCTGCATAGTCTTCTATCCCAATCGTCAGTGATGTGTCCTCCATACATAATTTCACCAAAGAGATATCTTAGATCTTCCCAGGGGACCTAAATTATATAGTTTGCAGATTAATTTATAACATTGCATAAATAAAAACTTCTACAGTGTTATTTTAATAAATACTTGGTATAAATTGTAAATCATAAGCCTCCCAATAATCACCCATGTGATTATTAGGAGGTTTAGGAATAGTATTATTAATATTACTACACTTTGTCAAAACTAGAAGTAACTGAAAATCCTAGAATCGGCACGACCATTTGATGCCTAGCAAAATAACCGGAAAATATTCAAGCCCACGCGCACGGAGACAGCGATCAGGTTGTTAAAATGAAAGACAGAAGAAGAAGCTATTAGAAAGCCAGATCCAAAAAACATAATGCTTTTGAAATGTGGTACTGTAAACTCCAGTTAAGTTAGCGATGGAATGAACACAACGTCACAGAGAAATAGATTATGTTTGTGTCCTATGATTCTTCTATTGCAGGGGTCGGCAACCTGCGGCTCGCGAGCCGCATGCGGCTCTTTGGATGTGAAGCTGCGGCTCTTTATATCCATACGCAAATATTATTTTATAAAAAAAAAAACATTTAAAAAAACCGTCTGAATAGATTAACGATGATTAGACACCAATTCTCTAAGTCACTACTAGTTTCCCACCGCACCCCTCCACTGTGACACGCGACGTCACTGTCGTCAAAAAGTACAGACTGCGCCGTGATAAACACGTTCTAACAAGCCCGTTTGTGTCAGTGAAAAAATGCCTTAAAGACAATGAGATCGATTTAAATAAAATCGTTTCAATAGCAACTGATGGAGTCAGAAGTATGACAGGAAAAAATATAGGGGCAATGACGATTCTTCAAAGCAAATTAAATCACGAAATTCCCAAACATTTTGCGCCAGCCGGAATAGTTGAGGTCATGAATTTGGTGATCAAGATTGTTAATAGCATCTTGTCAAAAGCACTCTACCATTCAGTTTAAAGAATTCTTAAACGATATGGAGGCTCAGTATTTCGACCTCCTTCATAATAAAGTGCGATGGCTTTCCAAAGCTAAGGTGTTGAAACGTTTTGCTTTGTGCTTAAATGAAATAAACACATTCCTAAATGAAAAATGCATCAATCACCCTGAATTAGGGAATGACAAATGTTTGTAAAAATTTTACTTTATGGTGGATATCACAACAAAATTAAATGAGCTGGATCTAAAACTACAAGGAAAGGGAAACCCAGCCTATGTTTTGATTGAAGAATTGGTTTGTTTGGAAGAAAAATTAATTCTTTTTGCAGAAGATATTCAGAGCGGTAAATTACTTCATTTTAATTCCTAACGCAATATCGCGATAAAACCAGTGCGATAAAAACACTAATAGTAACGAAATTCACGTTGAGACATTCGGCGCTTTTATTTGCTCCTGACGGTCAGTGGACCAGTTGAACGCTGTGTCAGTTCGACACGATCCGAAATAGCTCTAAGATACCCTGTTCTTACCCTATTTTAAGGATCGTGTCTATATGGCCAGAGAATATACTCTTCAAGCTGCTAGCCGACTTCTGCGAGGTAATTATAAGTCCGTTACCAGACTTTTCTTTATCTCGACAAAAGGCAGGCCATCAGTCAACAATCGCCGGTTCGTGTACTTCTTGTGATTTGAATAATGTCGTAGCCACACGGCTTCGTATTTATTCAAAACAATAAAGAGCTTTGGAGTCGTTTTCACTTCGACGTCTTCTTAGATCGAGGAAATAAAATTTTCACTCAGGTAATAATCAAACGCAGAATCGTAGTAAAGGCACTCGGACAACAAGGTCTAGCAGCGGCTAGGGATGATAGGGCCTTTAGATACACTTTGTGTTTGCAATTTAGCAGCAATCTTCCGACGGGAGGCCAATAACAACGCAGTTAATAACGCTATTTATGATTGGGCGAACAAAGTGACAAGCTGCGTCGTGATTGGTCACTTTGGCGTCAAATGAGGAAGTTTTACATAGAACTTGTTACCTCGAAGATAGGAAATTATTGGATGACCTGAAACGTGTTAGCAATAACTGAATGCAAGCCGCACAAGACAGAAACAGATGGAAAGAGCTGAGGGAGACCTATATCCAGCAGTGGACGCATACATGTTGATGATGATGATGATGATACATACTTAGATCTGGTATTACAGTGAGAACGATACTTTTGTATTAGTAGCAATTAACTACAGTTTTCAAATTAAGAATAATTTCCACCTTGAAATTAAGGGTAATCTATGGCTAACGCAACGTCAAAATATAATGTATGTATTTATAATTTTTAGATAGTGTTTAATTCATAAAAATAAAGTTAATAAAATCGACGATTGTTCTTCTAAACAATATGTAAAAATAATATTGTCATTAGAGCATTATAAATCAGCCTGAAATGGGCAAGCAATCGACTAAGCATTTGAGTTTTTAGTATACTAATTGTTTGGTAAAGTATGTACGAATTATTTTTATATTTTTACATATATTTTTTTGTTGCGGTACTGCAATGTGATTTAGTTCAATGCTGTATTCTAACAACTGTGTTAAAACATATTGCTTCCTGTTATTTCATAAAATTATTACTGGCTAGCTTATTTATTATGTTTTAAGTACGGAAAATTTGGCTTTCTCCTTTGTATTTTTCATCACGTAAGGTTTCGTATTACCGTGACAGTTAACTTAAATTATCGCCACTCAAAGTCGCAATACAATAGAATGATTTATTGGTACACTCTCTTGGACCACCACGTAACGGTAGAGGGTTCCTTAGTTATGACCATCTCAACGTACTTCACTTCTTCGTAAGACAGCGAACGAAACGGACTTTGTTTTATACAGCCTCAGAGTACCCGGACGTCCCGACGCGGTGCCAACTAGATTCCCCGGGCTAAGAATACGACTTCAATATTTCAAAGGGTAAGTCTATATTCTTTGTACAGACAACAATAATGAGTAAGACCAGTTAATTTCGTAACTTATTCACAATTGAGAGTTGCCATTTTTGGCTAATTTATTTACAAACAAATATTGCATTTTTACTTTATAATTATTTATCTTATATCATTTTACCAGCGACCTCTTAAGTTTTATACAAAACATTTGGTCCTCTGCTAGGCAGTGGGCCAGATACCATCTCAACGGACCTACGTCACAATCACCCTACGAGTGATTCTCGTTGATCTATACATCTTCTGCAGTGAGAACTTGCTTAGCTCTTAAAGCACGATACGATGGTTTTCCGCTAGGCAGTGGGCCAGCAGCCATATCGACGGACCTACATTAGAATCACCCTACGAGTGATTATCTTTGATCTACTCACCTTTTGCAGTGAGCACTTGCTTAGCTTTTAAAGCTCGATGGATTTTCGCTAGACAAATCGACACTGTTAGCAACCATCTTTATTTATTTTCAGGCTTTAGCTTAGACATTTTGACATGTTGTTCGTTAACACATAGGAACCTTTCATTTTTACGGTACTGGGCCTAAAATGAAATCCTACATCATCGTATTTTTGTTGCTATTCTTTTGTTTTTATTCCTTTTCCATATCTATTTGCTAGGCAAACGTCTTCTACAACCGTTGTGGTACTTTGATGTATCCTGGGATAATAAAACATCTGAACAGATACATCTGACCTCTGTGTTTGTATGTGTTACATTTCTGGTGTTATTTCTATACAAGAACATCTATCGTAGGTTTGGAGCTCTTGGCAGCTATACTGCTGATTGATCCAGTCACCTTTGTTATAGGGTTCTCCTTCCGATCTTAAGATATTTGATATGACTCTACGATTGCGCTCCCTTGAGCTAATTTTTCTACCCATAAATTGTCAATAGTATTAGACACATACAAGAACTAATACCACACTTTACGCGGCATTATATGCCTTCTAATCAACACCTCTCTGATTGTGTTAGTCGTGTTTTATCACCGGCACAATTATTACTATTTTCACCAAACTGGCATTTTCCTACCGTTCATCTCGTCGAAATATCATTACTTCCCGGCTGTCATTGCAGACTTGAAATGCGACACCAAGCCGAGATTTCGACGCTGTTCTTCATCTTGTTTTTTGCGCACTCTACGGAATTTTTATAGGAAAAGGGGCCAACGGTACTGTGTTTGACACAGTCTTTCTAGTTTAGTCGATCGAAAAATTCTACTGATTCGACACTATTCTTTTCTAACTGATGACATTGTACACGTTGTTAATCTGAACACAGTTTCAGATGGCATTCAACAATGTTCTGTGGTCAAAATATGACCGCCGCTTATTTGTCAGTGCATATTTTATTCTTACTTAGTTCTTAATTAGTATATCGATCTTTTCATTTTCATTCTTTATACTTATGCTCTCAGCTGTTCTTGAAAACATTCGTTTTTGGAGCGGGAGAATGTTTGGGAAAGTATGTACGAATTCTTTTCATATTTTTACATTTTTCAAAACATAAATAAACAGTGAAAATTTTTCCAAAATTACAGGTGAAATTAAAGTTTAAAAACATAAAAATCGGTAGTAACTAATTATACTGGTGTAGAAAGTGTGAAGTGTATAATTGACACTAGAAAAACCGATCTGGTACGATTAAACATCCATAAAATAATATCGAAAACAAGTAAGGTTATCTGCATTGAGTTAGTATATACTGAAAATTATCTGCAATCCAGTCTGCGATAAGAAAACGGCCCACGTCTCAACGCCAGACAGTGTTGCCAAACTTCAAAAAAATAATATAGAAAGGGAAAACAAAGTAATAATTACTAAATATATAAAAACTAAGTAGCTTTAAGAGGAGAATTGATCTCCGAAGAGTCGATCTGGATTCATTCTCCTATCGTAAAGCAAAAAAAAAAAAAATTACATAAAAACCATTATATACATAAAAATATTTTTTGTAAACTACAATATGTTAAATAAGTAGCTAAAATGGAATGGCAAAATCAAATTCCAAATTCAGATAATATTCAGAGTTATTCTCCCTCATTAAAAGATGTAGCATATGAGAATCCACCTATAAGAAAGGCCGGTCT